ATCTATCCATCTTTCTTTCTAACAAATCTATCCATCTTTCTTTCTACCTAATCTATCCATCTTTCTTTCTACCTAACTAATCTATCCATCTTTCTTTCTAACAAATCTATCCATCTTTCTTTCTAACTAATCTATCCATCTTTCTTTCTAACTAATCTATCCATCTTTCTTTCTAACTAACTAATCTATCCATCTTTCTTTCTAACTAACTAATCTATCCATCTTTCTTTCTAACAAATCTATCCATCTTTCTTTTAACTAATCTATCCATCTTTCTTTCTAACAAATCTATCAATCTTTCGTTCTAACTAATCTATCCTTCTTTCTTTCTAACTAATCTATCCATCTTTCTTTCTAACTAATCTATCCATCTTTCTTTCTAACTAATCTATCCATCTTTCTTTCTAACTAATCTATCGTTTTTTCTTTCTACCTAACTAATCTATCGTTCTTTCTTTCTAACAAATCTATCCATCTTTCTTTCTAACAAATCTATCCATCTTTCTTTCTACCTAACTAATCTATCCATCTTTCTTTCTACCTAACTAATCTATCCATCTTTCTTTCTAACAAATCTATCCATCTTTCTTTCTAACAAATCTATCCATCTTTCTTTCTAACTAATCTATCCATCTTTCTTTCTTACAAATCTATCCATCTTTCTTTCTAACAAATCTATCCATCTTTCTTTCTAACTAATCTATCCATCTTTCTTTCTAACTAATCTATCATTCTTTCTTTCTAACTAATCTATCCATCTTTCTTTCTAACAAATCTATCCATCTTTCTTTCTAAATAATCTATCATTCTTTCTTTCTAACTAATCTATCCATCTTTCTTTCTAACAAATCTATCCATCTTTCTTTCTAACAAATCTTTCCATCTTTCTTTCTAACAAATCTATCCAACTTTCTTTCTAACTAATCTATCCATCTTTCTTTCTAACAATTCATTCTTTCTTTCTTTCTTTCTTTCTTTCTTTCTTTCTTTCTTTCTTTCTTTCTTTCTAACAATTCCATCTTTCTTTCTAGCTAATCTATGCATCTTTCTTTCTAACAATTCTTTCTTTCTCTTTCTTTCTTTCTTTCTTTCTTTCATTCTTTCTTTCTTTCTTTCTTTCTTTCTTTCTTTCTTCTTGATGCTAATAATATGCTAATCATGCTAGCTTTATGCTAATCATGTTAGCTTCTTGATAAAACATGCTAGCATGATGCTAGCAACATGCTAATCATGCTATTATGATGCTAGCTACATGCTAATCATGTTAGCTTCTTGCTAAAAACATGCTAGCATGATGCTAGTTACATGCTAATCATGTTAGCTTCTTGCTAAAAACATGCTAGCATGATGCTAGCTACATGCTAATCATGCTAGCATGATGCTAGCTACATGCTAGTCATGCTAGCTTCTTGCTAAAAACATGCTAGCATGATGCTAGCAACATGCTAATCATGCTAGCATGATGCTAGCTACATGCTAATCATGCTCGCATGATGCTAGCTACATGCTAATCATGTTAGCTTCTTGCTAAAAACATGCTAGCATGATGCTAGCAACATGCTAATAATGCTAGCATGATGCTAGCTACATGCTAATCATGCTAGCTTCTTGCTAAAAACATGCTAGCATGATGCTAGCTACATGTTAATCATGCTAGCATGATGCTAGCTACATGCTAATCATGCTAGCATGATGCTAGCTACATGCTAATCATGTTAGCTTCTTGCTAAAAACTTGCTAGCATGATGCTAGTTACATGCTAATCATGTTAGCTTCTTGCTAAAAACATGCTAGCATGATGCTAGCTACATGCTAATCATGCTAGCATGATGCTAGCTACATGCTAATCATGCTAGCTTCTTGCTAAAAACATGCTAGCATGATGCTAGCAACATGCTAATCATGCTAGCATGATGCTAGCTACATGTTAATCATGCTAGCTTCTTGCTAGCAACATGCTAATCATGTTAACATGATGCTAGCTACATGCTAATCATGCTAGCTTCTTGCTAAAAACATGCTAGCATGATGCTAGCAACATTCTAATCATGCTAGCATGATGCTAGCTACATGCTAATCATGTTAGCTTCTTGCTAAAAACATGCTAGCATGATGCTAGTAACATGCTAATCATGCTAGCATGATGCTAGCTACATGCTAATCATGCTAGCTTCTTGCTAGCAACATGTTAATCATGTTAGCATGATGCTAGCTACATGCTAATCATGCTAGCTTCTTGCTAAAAACATGCTAGCATGATGCTAGCAACATGCTAATCATGCTAGCATGATGCTAGCTACATGTTAGTCATGCTAACTTCTTGCTAAAAACATGCTAGCATGATACTAGCAACATGCTAATCATGCTATTATGATGCTAGCTACATGCTAATAATGCTAGCTTCTTGCTAAAAAATGCTAGCATGATGCTAGCAACATGCTAATCATGTTAGCATGATGCTAGCTACATGCTAGTCATGTTAGCTTCTTGTTAAAAATATGCTAGCATGATGCTAGCAACATGCTAATCATGCTATTATGATGCTAGCAACATGCTAATCACGTTAACAACATGCTAATCATTTTAACTACATGCTAATCATATTAGCATCAAGCTAGCTACATGCTAATCATGTTAGCTTCTTGCCAATAACATCTATCTATCTAGCTATCTATCTATCTATCTATCTTTCTAACTAATCTATCTTTCTAACTAATCTATCCATCTTTCTTTCTTTCTTTCTTTCTTTCTTTCTTTCTTTTTAATTCCATCTTTAAAACTTAATTCAAACACTTAAAATTCTTCAAACGCTCTGGTCCGGCTTTCTCAAGCCAACTTAAAGTTTGTGTCATCAAACTTTTTTTTCTAGTTTAATCTGTTATCTCAGCAACATTCCCAAAACATCCTCAAAATGTTACAGTGAAAATGTTATATCTTAGTTTACATTTAACCTTATAGGAACATTATTTGAAATGAGAAAACATCCTTAAAACATTCTTTAAACATTGCATTCAAATGTTTTATTTAAAACATTAACCAAACCTCTAGGGAATGTTAGCCAAAGTTCTGAGAACGTTCCCTGTTAGCTGGGATGTTTTACCGCATTTGTTACACCGAAACACTCGACCACTACTTAACAAAACTAATAAGGAAGCAGCAGGTCGTTCACTGCTCATTTAAATATCTGATGACGCATTACTCCCTTCTCTATGCTCATTGGCTATCATAAATTACGTAGCCAATGGAAACACTCCTTTTCCGAAACTGCACATATTGTCGTAGTAATCAACTAAAGTTTATTTACTCATATTTAAATTTGAAATGAACAAAAAAATTATAAACCAGACAAAGTAAGGAAAATAAAGAAACCTCAATTTAATTGTGATAACCTCAAATTTGGGACAACTTGGTTTGAATATATTTTGAATTTCTAGCAATGTTAAACTTCTGTAGCCTACAACCCATTTATTAAAAGTTGCATAAAATGTTTCATGCATTTAAAAAAATGAACGAAAATACGAGAGATCTCAACGCACTGAAACAGAAGAAAACATGCAAACAGTAAAAAACAGCAGCAAATTAAGAAAACATCTTCATCAGTTTGACAACACACATGCAACCAAATACAAAAACACACTGCAAACGGCAAGAGACCTCAAAGTCCTGCAACAGAAGAAAACATGCAAACAAGAAAAACAGCAGCAAGTCAAGACACCAGTTTCACAACACACTGCTGCAAATACAACGCAAACAATAAATAATAATAATAATAAACACCACTGTCCAGTAGATATTTGCGTTGTTGGTCGGACATTTGGAGTGTGTTTCTGTATTTGGTTGTGTTTTAGCACATGTGATAAAGATGGTCTTATTTTACAGGTTTTTTTCTGTTTGCATCCGTTGTCTTCTGTTGCAGCGTGTTGAGCCCTCTCAGCCACCGTACTAAAAAGCAATAGAAACCAAGTAATACATTTAACTGATACAAACAGTAAAGCAAAAGTGTAAATGTGTCAGTGAGCCACGTTAAGCGTTTTCGTTTTCTCATGACGGTTTTCTATGGGAAGAAAATGCTTAACGTGTTATTAATCGCGTTGCGTTGATATTCTGGACTCATCTTATTTTTTTATACATAGTATGGTTTATTAATATGATGTGTACTGACTCGGAGTTTGGTCTTTTAATATCACCGTCTCAGTACATTAAGTGTTTTTAACGTTAAGCGTGTGAGAATGTCCCCCAATATCCGCACTCGCGCCCTTGTGCCCCTCGATGCGCGTTCTCGCTTAAGGCGTGCAAGACCGTAGGGTGTCCCGATCCTCTAGAGGAAAACCATAATGATGTGAACAGCTCATTTCTGCATAGTCTTTAAAAACGATTTATCCAACAAAAAAAGAAACAGACAGACGGGCGGAAAAGAGGCACACAAAGACAAACATAGACAGAAAGATGGACAGACACGGAAAAAGACAGACGCTTTAAAACCCTTAAAAAAATAATACAAAATAAAATATATGATAAAAAATACTTTATTTTAAACACATTGTACAACAGAAAATTCAAATCTATAAACTAAGTGAACAGAAGACAAACAAAAATGGCCAATAGAAATAAATCAAGTATTTGTTCACAAATTGTCCTCGAGGTCACCTGTGTCGAGGTCACCTGTGTCGAGGTCACCTGTGAAGGAAAAGCCCTTCCATCTCCTTCAACTTTTTCTCTAAAGAGCCCAGCTGATCGTCCTTGTCTACTGTTCTCTCAAGTTCCTCACGCTTGGCAGTCTCAAGCTCCTGAGCCTTTTCTCTAAGGCTTTCTTGTTGGTGAAGCTCATTTTGAAGCAAGAGAAGCTCAGCATCTTTCTGTGAAGCTGTAGTTGCCTCCTCTAATAACTTCTTCTGAGAGATACTACTTCAAAAACTGGAGGAGAAATGGGAGATGGTGAATGAGGAAAGAGACCACCTGTCAATTGAAGTTGCACTTACCAGAACGTGCAGAAGCAACATCTGTTTTAGAGGTAGAAAGCAACCAGTTAAAAGAAAACATGGCTACCCTAGAGAAGAAGTCATCAGAAAATCAGTTATCAGCTTCAGAAAAACGAGAGGAAGTGCTGGTTCTGTCAGCAGAGGTCACCTCTCTTAAAGAGCAGATCTGCCGTTACAGTGAAGATGAAGTACTGAAACGACAGGAGATGTCTGTCCTAGAGACCAAACACAACGGGGCGCTGGAAATCCTGACCTCTGTTCTGAACCAGCTGGCTGGCGTGACAACTACAGCTTCACAGAAAGATGCTGAGCTTCTCTTGCTTCAAAATGAGCTTCAACAACAAGAAAGCCTTAGAGAAAAGGCTCAGGAGCTTGAGACTGCCAAGCGTGAGGAACTTGAGAGAACAGTGAGTGAACTTCAAGCTAAAATCCAACAGGTCTCCACTCTTGCCTCTGAGAGAGATGCTCAAGTAATTTCTCTTCAAGAGGAGATGAAAGATCAAGAGTTGAGGGCCAAACAGTCTGAAGATGATCTCCGCAGAGAGCTAGAGGAGAAACAGGACGATCAGCTGGGCTCTTTAGATCAAAAGCTGAAGGAGATGGAAGGGCTTTTCCTTCGAAAGGAGAAAGATATCCTTGATCTGCATCAGGCAAAGGAGGATCTGGAGAAGAGGCTTGTTGATGAACAACAACTGGAGGAGAACCAGCAGAAATGGGAGATGGTGAATGAGGAAATAGACCACCTGTCAATTGTTTTTAATATTTTGTTCCTTCACAAGCTTCAGCTCGCGCTCAACAGAGTCGGACTCGTTCCTCAGATTTCTGATTTCTTCATCTTTTAGGGAAATCTGCTCGGACCGTTCCAGAACGCGAGTTTGGAGGCTTTCGATTTTAGTCAAAACCTGACAAGAGACGAGACATTCATTTTTTTAAGTCATAGCATTTTATACAATAAACGCAATGAAGTGAGATTTACTCAGACTAAAGAGCAAAAATTAAGATTAAAAAGTAAAATTTAAATTGAAGAGCAATCCATCTCACAAATGGACTTTAAAAAAAAAATGTACATCAATTATTATTTAATGGTTTATAGAACTAGATTAAAAAAATTGTGAGTTAAATGTTTTAAATGTTCATTCATTTTAAATGTAATAAAACAAATGAATGTCACTTAAATTTACAGTTAATTTTGTTTCATCAAATAAAACAGATTAAAACTTTGTTTTAAAATGTAAATTAAATAAACAAAACAAAATCAATAAAACCATTATGTTTTACGATGACGCATTGCTGCCACAGACATATTTTTTCCCCTCAATTATGTCGTCATAACGAGATCTTATGCCGTTAAAAGACATATTTTCTCGTTTTATTGACATATCTCGTTTTAACGACATAATCTCATTTTAACCACATAAATATCTCGTTTTAATTACATAAATATCTCGTTATTGACATAATTGAGGGGAAATAATAATATGTATGTGGCAGCAATGCATCACCGTAGTATTTAACTAGATTTTAAAACGAGTTAAACAGTGTGAAAGGTACATTTAATACTAATTAACTGTTTTATTAAATTGATACGTAACTTTATTTACCCTGCAAACAAGGGACGTCCCCCGGACTTTTCAAACGTCCGCTTAGGTCCGCATTAGGTCCGCTTTGTAACGTTCCCTAGCGGACGTTCGGAGGACGTCCGCACTTGGTCCCCTTTGTAACGTTCGCTGACGGACATTCCGATGACGTTCGCATTTGGTCCCCTTTGTAACGTTCGCGGACGGACATTCCGATGACGTTCGCATTTGGTCCGCTTTGTAACGTTCGCTGGCGGACATTCCGATGACGTTCGCATTTGGTCCATTCTATAACGTTCGCTGACGGACGTTCTGAGGACATTTCTCCGGGCCAGTTTGCGAACGTCCTATTTCGTCCCTCACGCATTTCCATGACAACACTTGCAAAATCAGGTCGCCCATGTTTGCTATCATCAAATGAAACTTTACAACTCAGACACGAATAATTAAACTAAAATATAAATGCAAATATTTGCATTGATTGTAAAATTAAGTTAATGCTAAAAATGTTAGTGTGTTAATAAGATAATTTATGTTACTTCATGTAAATTCTAATCACTAATTAAAGATGTAATAATACCACGAGTTTTCAACTGTT